TCTTTCCCTTGTTCATGCAAATTTTGTTAAATATATATCTTGGATTCAGTCCTTAGTGTTTTTCCTTCTCATACACATTCCACCTGGAAAATCTCACTCACACATAAAGATTCACCTGTAAACCTATGACGTCTAAATCTTGGGCTCCAGCCCCCTTCTGGCCTTTGTATTAATCTTTCCCTCTTATTCTCAGATTTTCCACCCAGTTATTCCATAGGGACCTCAAAGTCAAGATGTTCAAAGTAATTTTCCCTTTATTCTAGCATCTCAAATCTTGGCAAACAGGACCACCATTCACAGCGTCATTCAAGACGGAAACTTCCAGGTGACGCACAATTTCTCCCTCTGTCCCCGTATCCAACAGGTCACCGTGTACTTTCCATCCTTTCTGCCTGTGGTCACGCTCAGGACTCTTCTTCATCCACGTGAGGACATCTTCCCAACTCCTCTCCCTGACTCCAGCCTGTCCCCACCCTGACTTATCTTTTAAACTGCCACAAATTAATCTTCTGAAATACAAATACGAGCCTGCGGCTCTGCCTGTTGAAAAAAAACACTATTGTTTGTGCTCCATAGCCTACAGGCTAAAGATTCAATGTCTAATGTGATATATGATCCCTTTTTATCATCTCACCTGACCCATCTCAACCACACTGTTTCCTACACTTGTTTTACATCTTAGGCGTGAGTGTTCTCCAAGTGCATCACACACTTTCTTGTCCTCATGTTTCTGCACACACTGTTCTCTCTACATAGAATGTCCTTCCTCATTTTCTATCTACAAACAGATTCCAGACCAAATATCACCACTGTGAGGATATATACATTTTTTGTTGGATTGAAAGCATTTTATGGCAACAACAATACTCATCTATATTGTAATTTTTTCTTTTTATTGTATCTATTTTAACTTATGAAATACTGTAAACACATAAATAAGAGAATATGATGAATACTCTATACCCAGGACTCATCTTAATGTGATAATCTCTATAGTTGACTGTGAACAGATTGTGTTAATATTTTATGCCACCAGAGTGAAACTCATTATATGCTAGGCTTGTGAAATAACTTACTAAAGAACAAAATACATATTAATGTAAATAGCTGTAAGTGTATATGAATACTGAAACAACTCCTACTATCCCAGGTATATCTGACAGTATTTTTTCAGTATTCATGTTAATTTCCCCTATTTTTTAGATGAAGAAAGAAGATGTCCATTAGGGTTGTACATTTATTGTTTTGTCCGTGGAAATTTTTTATCCAATCATAACTATTGAACTGTCCATGTATGGTTGTTTCTTTGGGTGTTTGGAGATTTCCGGCATTCATTAATTCTGACCTAGGGCCACCTTCGGGGTTTTATGGAGTTTGGGTAAGTTCTAATCACTCCAAGGAGCGATCAGTGTCAACTATGAGATAAATGCTCCTTGACCCCTGGCAATGGTGCCCCTCCTGTCTTAGGTGCCTGTCACTCTTGTGATCTTCATCCATCCCTCAGCCCACCTATAAAAACTAACCCTCGGGACACATTATCTCCCACTTTAATTTATTCATTGACACGTAGTGAATCCACATGCCCACCCAGATACTGGGAATAAAGCACTAAATGGGAAAGGAAAGCCTCCCTGCCATCCCAGAGCCCACATTCTAGACAAGGGGGGGAAGATTAACAAACAAGCGGAATATAAAATACAGTGTCAGCAAGACTGTGCAATGGAAAATAAAGCCTATTGGGGAGCTCCAAGGAACCTGCCCAAAAGCTTCTGCTTATGGACTTGGGACCTGCCCTGGCAGAGGGAAACCCTTCCGAGACAAGTTAAAACCAGATAGAGGAGTTCTGAAATGTTTCCTGAGTATGAAAAAAACAAACCATTTCCTATATTATAAACATATTTTCAACTTCTTTATCTCTTGCTCTTTAAATGGATCAAAAATCACATTTTTAAAGAGAAATGAAAGAAGTACTGTAAAAGTTTTTAAGAAGAGAGAAAAAATGGAATGTTTTCATTTCCTAAGTCAAATTGCCACCTTTTGTCATGTCCATCAATGTGCCTTTAGTGGGAACAGCCAGTGTCCCACCCTTGCAGGGATGTGAACACACTTGCACTCCTCATTTGTGTGGCTTTCCATCTGCTCCTTCCTCAATGTTTCCCCACAATCTTAGAAGATCCAGATTCCTGCCTTCTCCACAATCAGCTTTCCATCTTCCATCTTTCTATAGCACCACACACAGTCCATGACGATGGTATCCATCAAATCTGTCATATTTGCCCACATGTCTCTCTTCCTCTGTTAGATTCTAAACCTTTAAAAGCAGAGTCTGTGGCCTGTCACTGATGTATTTTCAGTGCTGGCACAATATTTGGCATACTCTGGGAAATGCATAGATCCTTGCTGGTTGAATAAATACATAACTTAAATTTCATCATTATATCCACAGAGGAAGTCCAGGTTAGATTTTTTAAAATATTGAATTCTTATTTCAAATGAGTAGATTCGGATGGGAGGGGGATAATCACCAGTAAAAAATGTGCATACTTACCCCTTTCAACAAGTTCCTGCTGCTCATCTAAATTGCTGTGAAAATAAGAAATGTAAGTTTGCATACTCTTAAGAAACATAGAAATTAGTTGGAAATCAATTTATGTTTAATGAATGTCTTGAAGGAAGGAGGGAGTGGAGATGGGGAAGACAAAAAGGAAAAGGGCAGAAGATGGGAGGGGATGATGGTGGGGAGAAAAAGTGGGGAGGAAGAAACCAATCTCAGGTGGTCAACCAAACTCGGATAAATGACCACATTATTTTATTTGGAACCTCTTGGTTTTCGTAAAATGCAGTTGTTCCTGGACAGAGGAATGCATATCCTTCCCTAGATACTTCTCTCCTTTGTCATTTCTAGATCTCTCTGACCACTTTGTACTAAAAGAAAAGACACATTCTTTTCATTGGTTATTATTAAAGGGAATCCATCCAGTTATTAGTGAATGTAGAAAATATTAATATTTAATGTAAACCAATAAGACCACGTGAAAGTCTTTGATCAAAAGGTCAGTGATGTCCTGGACTTCGTGCTGTCATCTCTGAATTCACGTTTTTCACTTAATTGGTTCCAAACTGGCCTCATAAATGGGTTTTCATCATTATTACTACTATTATTATTTTTTCATCTTAAAATCAACTCTTACCTGGATCTTTTCTTTTGCAGATCATAGATTTTATAGAGAACAAAAAGCAGGGCTATTGATGTCACAATAATCAGAAATACCAGAAATATGATCAGTGCATTAGAATTATCTAGAAATGAAAAAGAACACATAAAGAGAGCTTATTATGTCAAATATTTTGCTGGATTCTTTGAAAAAATCACCTTACAGTTTAAGGTTTTCATTTCTTTTTAAGTTTTCAAAAAATACAATTTTTAGAATGAGATCAAAGACAATACATTCCTGATTTTGTAAATCTTGCCTATGTTGTTCGGAACCAATAAAACATTTCATATTTTAAGAGCGATAGAGCATAGAAGAGCAATTCTCTTCCTTCCTATCAAATAATGTCCTTTTATGAGATAGTATCATTTAGATTTAATTCTCTTTCTTTCAGTCACTCCATTTTGAAGGGATTGAAGAGGTAATCTAGTTACAATTCTCAGAGAGAACCTCCTATAGTTTAACTTTATATGCAGAAGTAGGTAGCCTCTTAAGGGGATCAGAAAGGTCTCTGTCCCGCAGAGATAAACCTGCTCATTGAGGTATACAATCAGTTATCCAAGGGACAAAATTATTTCATTCTACAGTTGGGATTAGTCTTACCCTGACCTGTATTTTCACTAAGGTTTAATGTGAAATCACACCCTTTCTTGGAGGAAGGGCAGAGAAAAGAGAGTGTATTGGAAATATCCTTTGCCTTGAATAAGTAGGTCATACTATTTGTCTGCAGTGAAAGTGCAGTAAAGTACCACAGAGGCATTAGGGAGACAGACTTAGCTCCACCACTTCCTAGTTGGGACCTTGGCCCAAATCCTTATTATCTTTGTGTCTCCATCCCTAATTCCTAAACAAGTTTGATTCACTGTAAACGTTTAGCACCATGCCTGGAGCATAGTCAGTACTAATTATTCACAATTCACACAAAGTATTTTGAGTCTTTAGTGTGTGTCAAACACTGATTTAGGTACTTAAGATGTCTCAGAGAACAAAACAACAGACAAAGACCCCTGTCCTCATGGGACTGATGTTCTGGGATGTAAGACAGACAGTTAAGAATATACATAATAAGTAAGTGAATGGTAAAGTAGGTTGGAAGATGATAAAGACTGGGAAGGTAAGGAGTTAGCTAAGGAGGTACTGGCGGATGCTTGTTCTAGGCACAGGTGTAGCTAGGCTAGAGCCTGGAGGCAGGAACATGCTCCGTGTCCAAGGAGCAGCAAGAATCCAGAATCCAGAGAGGCTGAAGTGGAGGGAGAGAGGGATGGGCAGCAGGAGATGCCATTTGAGAATATGGCCAGGAGTCGGCAGAGCACAAGGGTCAGGTTGGAGGGCCTTCTAAATCATTTTAAGGTTACATTGTTTTGTTATTGTTGTTTTTTGTTTTTTGCTTCACTGCGTATCTTGTAGGATCTTAGTTCCCCAACCAGGGTTAGAACCCAGGCCCACTGCAGTGACAGCACAGAGTCTTCACCACTGGACCACCAGGGAATTCCCAGTTACACAGGTTTTGGAGTTAAATGTGTAGCACTTGCAGGATTTTGAGTAGAGGAGTAATTAACTCTAACGTGTGCATTATACAGATCCTTAGGACCCCTTATTGAAAATGCCATAACCCAGGCAAAATATGACAGTGGTTCAGATGAGGTTGATGGCTCTGGAGTTAGGGGAAGTAGTCATCCAGCGCTACAGTGAATGGAGATGAGGAAGGCTGTGGACGGAACAACCTTCTGAGGGGAACAGAAGCTCAGTTTTGGATTTGAGAGTCTGAAAGAACAATTAGATGCCCAAGTGGAGGTGCCAAGTAGGAAACTGGATATACAGATCTGAGGCTCTCCTACCATAAATCTTACGAGAAAGGGGCTGGGACTGGACATTAATTTGAGAGTCTTCAACACAGATCTGTTACTTAAAGCTATGAGATTGACTAATTCATCAGGAAATTAAAATTGGATAGAGAGGAAAGAAATCCCAAGACTGAGTCCTGAGACACTCCAGTATTCAAAGGTTGGATGAGAAAGATGGAACCTGCAAAGGGACTCACAAGTGAAATAGGATGAAATGAGCTTTACTGTTGGGAGTTGCAGGGGGTAAAGAAATAGGGTGGCAGCCGAAGAGGAAATAGGGTCAAAAGAAATATTGTGGTCGTTGCTGTTTTTTGTTGGTTTTTAACAACTGCATCTTGATGAGACCCATCCAGCACAGAGGGGAAATCATGATGCGGGAGAGAAAGAAGAAAACTGTTACATCAGGGGTTTTGGTTGACAGGATCAAGGGATTCAAGAGTAATTGCAAGAGAGTGGTTATGGATTATGGATTATGGATTAACGGTTAATCCATAATGATGGATTATGAATTGACATTGTGCACAGAGGGAGTGGAGGACCCAAGGGGATGAGGGGCTGTCCATCACGGTTCACTACCATGGCTATGGTTCACGGAGATAGGGAGAGATTTAGTGCTCTTATTATTTTCAATGAGGAATCAAATTCAACCCTCTTCAGTCAGGTTTCTAAGGCAATACAGAAATTGTACGTTTTAGGCAGGGGTAGGCTGAGAAGACTGGGTGTTTTGAAGGAAATATATGATGAGCAGAATTCCAAGATACGGCACCCGAGATTTCCAGGTCCTGGTTACTTCAGAAAATATTAATCTAGGTACTGCTGCAAAGCGATTGTGCAGAGAGAATTCAAGCATCGAGTCAGTTGGGACTGGAAGATATGGAAATTGTTCTGGGTGAGCCCAAACTAATCATGAGTTCTTTAAAAGCAGAAATCAGAGATCTGAAGCACTAGGATCCCACACACTGCTCTGGCTTGAAGATGGAGGAGGCCAGGTGGAAAGAACGTGAGTGGCCTCTGGGAGCTGAGTGCAAGCCCTGGCCTGCAGCTCCCCAAGGAAATCGGGTCATTGGTCCCACAACAGCAAGAAAGAGGACTCCGTCAACCTGGAGTGACCTCAGAAGCATGTTTTCTGCATATTCTCCAGATAAAAACTCATGCTGGTCAACATCTAGGTTTCAGCTTTGAGCAGAAGACCTGGTCACATGGAGCCGGAATTGTGACCTATGGAATTGTGAGCTAATGAATGGGTGTGGTGTAAAGCCACTGAGCATGCAGTAATTTGTTGGACAGCAAGAGAAAACTAATACAAAACATTACTTCCCTGTGATTTTGCCTGGAGACAGTCCGTATAGTTCAGTGTGGCTGAAGCAGCAGCCTCCTCCCCTCCCTTGCTTCCTTCCTTCCTGCCTGTGGCTGACACTGGCTGACTCTTAAGCACACCTCTTTTCTCTTTCTTCTGGACCAGGCTTCCTTGCTGTTAAGTGTGTCCAGGTAACTGAGATAAGGGTAGAAGGCATATAAGCCTCTTCTGGGTCTGGTGTTTACCACCCCTCTGGAGAGACCCTTCACCTCGTCTCTTCTCCAAACTGCTGTCTGGATGCTGGTTGTTCTCACAAATTCAGAAGCCACGTGTGGGAGAGGTCAGCCCCTGTGTCAGCCTGGAGTTTTGAATGGTGTGTGGGGCAGAACCCCACCCTCTACATGCCCACAAACATCCCCAATTGGTGTGGAGTAAGAAATAAATGTCTGTTTTGTTACTTCACTGGGATTTGGGGGCTTAACTGTTATAGAGTCCATCATTGTCTTAACTGATTGGTACCCCTCTTCATCCCATACTGACTGAGCAAATGCTACGTGTCCTAAAACTGTGATGATCTCTGGGGATATGACAGAAAATAGGGCATAAAAAGGTGCCAGTTCTGAGGGAATTTTCCTTACCTTTGGGGGAAAAGAAAGGCTAGACAGGCAAATAAAATAATTATATATTTTCCTTATATTTAAAGGAAAAATATAGAGTGGTAAGAAAGTAAGGGGGACCTATTTTCTGTATGGTCCATGGAAGACTTCCTGAGCATGAGACACTTCTCCAACCAGAAAGATGGAGTGACTCAGCCAGGCCAACGGCTGCCCAAACAGCGTGTCTCATGCTCCAGATGTCTCTAACTGGAAATTCATAAAAACAGGAACGTAGAAAATTAATTTCAGATGGGGATTGTCAGAGCTGAGTCTGCATCCTGGCTCTGGCATTTCTTTGACTCTTAACATGGGGCAAAATGATTAAATTGTCCGAGTTTAAATTTTCTCATCTATAAAATGGGAATGATTTGATCTTCTTTAGAAAGGTGTTGTGAGGATGCCTATATACGTGTCATGTGTGTGTCTATATCTATATCTATATTTATGTCTATATGTATGTATATCTATCGAGTGAGAAAGAGAAGGCCAGCGGCACATACTAGACATTTTGCAAAAAACACACCAAATGGTGTTGAGTGAGCATTGCAATCCATAGCAATTAATTAGGGCTGTTGGTTCTATAGAAATATGACATAGCATCAGATGTGCCTCCTTAAACGTATTAATAATAGAACAACCAAGGCTTCAGATACATCTCGTGGCCTAAGACGTGCTCTTCTCCCTCCTCTCTAGGAGCCCCTGTAACACTGACCGAGGCAAAGATCCATGACGGCAGACAGGATGGGAGACGGGGAGCCAGAGGTTGAGAGATTTCGACAAGTTTTGGAAGGTAGGAAGCAAAGGAGAGGAAGCCACAACCAGAGAAGCATGTGGTGACGAGGGACACACATGTTCCTGAGAACACCTGGGCCTCAAGCTCCCAGGCGCCATGGACAGTGGAAACCAATCAAAAGACCAAAATGGCACAATTGAGGGTCTGTTTACAGAAAACCCAGGCAGCTCTTGAAAGACACACCAGGGAGGAGACACAAGCCTACTCTTTGGAAAAATTGAATGGAAGAGGTAAGAGTCTAGAGGTAAAATCAGGCTCCAAGTAAAGAAGGGAGGAGGTCCAGCATGGAAGTGAAGCAGGAAAAGCAAGTGTCTGCATGTGGAATGGTTGGACACTGGCCCTGTGCCCTCCCCTGAGGGAACCATCCCGCACCTTCCACCCTACCACAAGGACTAGTAGTGGACTCATTTCTGGAGATTATGAATGATGCTGGAGAAAATAAATCAGTAACAACACAGAGAATCTCCTCAGTCAATACGGCCCCTTAAGGACCACAGAACTTCTAATCACAAGCTCCCCTGTGTCACTGTAACTATGGTCAGACTGCCCATGAGAACGGAACTCTCAAAGAAACCCTCAACACAAAAGGCAGATGCCAAAATAATACATCGACTAATGATTCCAAAATGTGACTAAGATGAGCTCCAAAAAGACTGCAAAAAGAAAGTGGAACAAAGAAAACTTCCCAGAGATACAAGTCTCCAGGTCACGAAAGCCAGTAGCATCCAGGAAAATAAGTGAAAAAGACCCATGTAAGACCAAGAATAAAGAGGAAAGCCTAAAAGTTCTAGAGATAAAATAAAATGAGGGAACAAACGGAAAGAATGAGAAGCAGGATGGCATTAGAAAGTAATACTGAGTGCAGGGGAACAAAACTGAAATACTTTAAATTCTATAGTTTTAAACTTAGAATCTATGCCAGAGCAAAATATTGATTGTGTTAGAATAGAATACAGATATTTTCATGCCTGCAGAAATTAGAATATTTTCTTCTTACACTAGAAGATATAAACCAGTAAAAACAACAACAACAACAACAACAACAACAAAACATGAGATTCAAATACAGCAATTTCAAAATGGGAAACTGATAAAGGAAAATTTTATGATGGTACCCTCAGAGAGTTCCAGAAGAAAAGGACCCCAGGAGTTCAATTGGGAATGTTGTCAAAATGCAGATGATGGAATGTGATACCAGAGAAACTCAGTAATACATTTCTAGCAGCTGTGCTTTTGCAATTCGAAACCCAAGCCCTCCCCTGGAGTAGATGTCAGTATTAAAATGTGAAGACATTATTTATCTCTTATGAAAATGCTGTTGTTAGCAAAGAGTTAATACTTTTTCTGCTTTATGGGGAAAAAGGAGCATAGGATAGCCCTCTAGCTCCACTGAAGGAGAAATCTGATAAAGATGGAATAGTAGCTGTGTCACCAGGCAACATTGCCAATGTAAACGCAATCCCTGATTTCCAAAGGGCATCTGGACAGGAGGGTTATGTATGAATGATGGTGTCCTGGTGGGAAGCCCTGGCCTTGATTTCCCTGAATGCACTAACCCCTGACACATCTTGTTACTGGGCGCATCCCTGTTGGCACATCTGGTAGCTATGCCTGTGGAACTATTATAAGAGATACATGGGGCTTCTAAGCTGGGGTCGCTCCCACACATATGGCCTCAGTCTTATAGCTCAGTTGCCTCTAGAGGGTCAAAGAGTTCATAGTCCCCGGACTGCAGTGGGCAATGTTACCAGGATTTTCTTGGCCAGACCCCCTTGCTGGCTGTGTTTCCCACTCTGTGTTTCTCTGAGGGAAATGGTGCCAGGCCTGGCTTATTAAGATAGGAGTATGAAATGTCCAGTGGAGTCTATGACCCCAAGAATAAATGCTGCCACTATAAATTATTTACATAATCAGAAAAACTCAATGAAGCTGTTGTTATAGTAAGGGCTTATAAAAGAAAAGTATATGGAAATAAAGTCAAAGGTACTTGGCTGAATTTGTTTGGCCTTTCACATTAGGAGCTTTTATTTTATAAATCTGAGCAGAAAGAACTAAAACTTTGTATGGGACTTAGTAAAGCAGTTTGGAAAATAAGCTGTTTTTATATCTTCCCTCTTTGGAAAGACTTGGGAAAATGAAGCATTAATGATTGTGCACGTGTGGGTAGTTGACAAAGACGGAGAAGTGGCAAGGTGACATCAGAAACAGCCTGTGCTTCGTAACACTGCACCAGGAGCTTTGAATTTAATTTAATTTAATTTACAAAGCTAACAAGTAGAGAAAACTTAAAGCAGTGTGCTAAGTCTTCTTCCTCCACAGGCTCAGATCAATAAGCAACATTAAAACTCTAGAAAGAGCCACAGACAATATCCCTTTTATATATGGAGGAAACTATAGAATTGAAAACAGAAATGGTGAAAAGTGGTCATTTTGGAGAGCAGAACAACCAACCGGTGAGGGAAGGTGACACACGGCTTTCTTCATTTCAGTGATTTTTTTCTAGAATGACCTTTATTTTGATTAAAATATTTTAAAATATTAGTGACAAAACATTAAAAAGCCATACTGTTATTAGGGAATGTGTATCCTAGCTCAGTTGGGTAAATCAGCACAGATTTGTATGTAACGCCTGCTTCTGCTAAGCAAATGCTTGAGGGGCAGAACAAAATAAGGTGACAATTTCTAACACATACACAAAATAAACATGCTTGTTACTAACATGAAGAAATGCCATAAGCACAATCATGATATTAGTTTGTGCAGATAAATAATTTATGAATTATTTTAGGAACTCTTTTAATAATTTAATATCTTAATTTGAATTTAAGATATTATATTTTAATATGGTATTCACCTGTACATCTGTTTGCACAACTTAAAATATAATGTTTTTTGGAAAATATATAATATAAACATTTAATAATTAAACATGAGTAGGAATGTAAAATAATAAAGCTAAGTGCTACTATATATTTAATATAAATATAATAAATAGCTAAGTGATGACTTACAAGATGTTGATCTTGAAACAATTATTGGATGACCAGAATATTCCCCATTGTGATAAAAAACCTGAATTTCAGTAATAAAAGAGAAAATAGTTTTCTAGTGTAAATTTATGACTCACAATATAACACATACATATTTGTCATACATTGTTGTTTATTTTCATAAAAAATATACTGGTTAACTTTAATTTAAAGTTGAAACTTCAAGATTATGTCAATACTTTATTATCAAAATGTTTTAAAGAAAATATTTACCAGTGAAAAAGATATAAAGAAATCTTAGCCCATTTAGCAATAATAATAATACTAATAGTTATAATCAGCAAGAATAAGTGAAAATGAAGGAATAAAATCCAACACACCAAAATGTTCATCATTTAAAGTTGATTCCCTATTAATAGGCTAACATTTTCACATTTCTTTCAAAAGGAAATTCTGCTGTATACTCTTTAGAAGAGTTATACATAAAATGTACAAAAAAGTTTTTAAGGCTAAGTGGAAACAATATAATGTAAGAATCACAGTATTTATATTCAAGTGATATTTAGTTCAGAAGGGTTAAAATGATCAAGATTGATGATACAGGGTAAACTACAGTGTAGACATAAGTAGTTCAAAATATTGAACACAATAAAGCAAAACAATTTAGATATACAAGGAAACAGCATGGAGCAGGAAAGCATTACGAATCTTCAGCAAAAAAAAACAGCTGAAGTAAAAATAGATCTAAAGAGTATTAATAGAAGAGATTAATAATAAATCTGGAAAATATATATCTAAGCTTTTACCCCATGGAGGGTATATAATATCCTCAGTACTCACAGAGTATTCATAAATATTTATCACACACTGAGCTGTAAAAAATAGTGTAGATTCAAAAGGGCAGAAATTGTAAAGGACAAGTATCCTTTTAAACTAATAATTAATTGCAATAAAAAATTCAGGAACCAGAAGTGTAGAAAAGTCTCTTTAAAAAAAAAAGATAAATTAAAAATTCTTCCAAATTACAATTATATTCTCTTTAGAAATTATCAATAATAAGAACAATCTACTTTAAAAATCCACTCATTAAAGTTTATGTCAGTCATTGAGAAATTAGTAATAAGTAATATAGACATGGGATAGACTCAAAATTTTACCAAAGAACAATCCGTAGCTTTATTTATTTATTTATTTGTAGTTAATAAAAAGGAAAAGGAGAAAGAAATAAATGGTCAAAAATCACTTTCAATGCCCAAACTAGCAGAATATCAAAATAAATCTACAATAAAAGAAAGTAATACATTAACAATTATGAAAACAACTGTATTAATTTATTAACCAGAGATCACAATGATGAATAAAGCTAAAATGGTTGCTCCCTCATGAAGGTATAAATGTAGCAGTGGATTCTGAAATAAACATAAAAACAAGTTATGGGAACTGCAGTGAAGAAAACAAGAGCTGCAGAAAACCTTGTAACTTCCAGGGCGACAGTCTTTTATTCTATTGAGCTGATTCTGGGTGGGCTGCAGTGAAGAGTGAGGAAGAGAAAGGATAACTGAATAATTGTCTCCTAATTTGAATTTTGAGATTGCATTTTAATATGATGTTTACCTATATTTTTCCAGAATAGCTTATCATCATTGACAAATGGGAGAAGAAAATTCTAGAAAGAGAGGAATGTTGAGTAAAGTGCTTAAAAGAGAGTAAAACCTGAGTGTTTGGAGAAAAGAAAAGGAAGCCAGTGTGCCTGTAGCTTCCTGGGTACTGAGGGAGGTGAAGTGAAATGTACAATAATAGGTAATAACAAAGTATTTCTTTTATTCCAACTCTTCTTTGGGAAAATATAAGTGGCACACCCACTCAAAAAGGGTAACATACTTGAAAAGAACAGTAATATCGAAAGATAACGTAAATGATTCTCAAAGAATCCCTCTGTGTTAAAGGGACTAAAACACATTTTTCGGTGAACAAATAATTCCTGTATTATTTAAAATATAAAAATATATTACACAGAAGAACAGGAAAATGTCTCCAACCTGTTTTATCAGGTTAGCATAACCTTCATACAAAAATGTGAAAAGAATGATGCGTGTCCCCACCTATGCCAGCGTCGCCTTTACCCACTTATTAAATGACCTCATTTATGAATGTCTATTCATAAAGGCTTAATAAAATATTAAGCTGTTGAGCTCAATAATACTTTAAAGGAATAATACACAATGACAGAGCAGTGTTTTTTTCTTGGAACGTGACACTGGTTCGACATTAGAAAACCTATCACTATAATTCAGCATATACACAAATCACACCATGGCATCAGAACCATGGCAGACCCAATATAGTACCATAAAACACATTTGATAAAGTCAAACCTACGTTTCTGGTTAAAAACAAAAACAAAACAAGAAAGCTTATGTATACCTAAACACTTCTTTAAGCGATAAGAATGTGAAGCAGATTGTCAACATGACATTAAGCAGTCAACTGTGGAAATTCCCATTAAACCAGAAATAAAAGTGAGATATTTGACTGAATAAGAATAAAAGGGGAAATTGTGTATGAGTTAAAGTGCTATAAAGAAAATTAAAAGGCAGACTATACACTGAAAACAAATTTGCAAGTCATAGGACAAAGAGTTTAATATTATTAATAGCCAAGAAGCATTCCCAAAGAAAACTAGACAAAGGAGCAGGAAGGATGTTACTACAAGACAAATAACAAAATGATATTTCTCCTCAACAGTAAGTAAAGAAAACCCATAAAAGCAAAAAGAGATGCCAATACAGGATTCCACCCACTAAATATCAAAGGAAAAGGGGATGCGCAGTGTTGGTGAGATTCTCCAGAGCAGTTATTTCACACACTGCCATGGGAATGGCAATTTGGTAACTTCCACAGGGAAAAGAAAAAGTATCATAAAAAATCCCAAAATACATGTCAATTCCTTTTGACCCAATACATTCATTTCCGGGAATTTATTCAGGCAGAAATGATAAAAGACATATTCAAAGATGTTGTTATTTCCCAGTAAGAGTGTTTGCTGACTGTTGTCAAAACAGGCATAGTTAGTAGAATGTGATAAAGCCGTAAGATAGAATCTTACGCAAACATGAAAAACTAGTAGCGGAATATTTAACATGGAAAAACGTTCGCGATACAGTGACTTATGAAACATGCAGTTTATCAAACGGTGTGCTCATATTAAGGAATTTGTGAGATCTTGGAAAATCTACATCTGTCTCTCCCTCTAGTTCCTGGCACAGAGCTCCCAAAACCCTTGTGTCTCCTAACTGATAAGAGTGCTAGGAACATTTTTGTCTTTGGTCTTTGAACCTGATTCCTGACACAGAGCTGCGGAAAACCTTGTAACTTCCAGGGCGACAGTCTTTTACTCTATTGAGCTGATTCTGGGTGGGCTCCTGGATGGTTCTCACACGAGGGCTGGTCACTGGAAAGACCAAGCCATGATTAGCCTCGGAAGTTTCAGCCCCTCCCCTCCCCCAGTCTCTTGAGAAGGGAGAAGGGCTGAAAATGGAGTTAATGATTTATCATGCCTATGTGATGAAGCCTCCATAAAATCCCAGAAGTACTGGGGTCAGAGAATTTCCAGGCTGGGGAACACACTCACACCTAGAGGGTGATACACTCCCAACTCCAGGGGGACAGAGGCTCCTGCACTTGGGACCCTCCCAGACCCCACCCTACGTATCTCTTCATCTGGCTGTTCACCTGTATCCTTTCTCAAAACCTTTAATAAACTGGTAAATGATGTAAGTGTTTGCCTGAGTCCTGTGAGCTGCTTTAGTGAACTAATCAAACCCAAGGAAGTGGGTCACGGGAACTCCTGATTTGCAGACAAATCGAGCTACAAAGTGGTGGGGACTTCCTACTTGTCATTGTCTTCTGACATAGGGTGGGACCAATCTCGTGGGACTGAGCCCCTCACCTGCGGAATCTGACGCTACATCTGGGTACATGGTGTCGAAATTGAATGGACACCCAGCTGGTGTCACAGATACTTGCTTGATGCGGGGAAAAACCTTCATACATTTGGTGACCAGAAGTGTCAGAAGTGAAGTGTTTCAGGTGTCTGGTTTTCTTTGGAAATGCTTCCCTGTGTTTCTTATAGTGAAGAACACACAGGAGATAGAATGAACTGAGGTTTTTCCCTAC